TTCAAAAAAAAAAAAAAAAAAATTAGCAGGGCCTGGTGGCGCATGTCTATAATCCCAGCTACTCTGGAGGCTGAGGTGGGAGAATCGCTTGAACCTGGGAGGAGGCAGTGAGCCGAGACTGCACCTACTGCACTCCTTGTTGCTTGGGCGACAAAGCGAGACCTTGTCTCAAAAAGGATTAAGTTCATGAATTTCTTCCAACAGTCAACAAATATTTAGCAAGCACCTTGTTCAGGCAACCACCACAGGTTGTGCAGGCTGTGCACTGCACAAGGGGACTGGCCCAGGCTGAATTAATTGCAGTCAGGGCTGCATCTTCTCCGTGGAAGGCTCTCCTTTTGCAGTTTGCCATGGGCTGGTGGGTGGTGACCCCACCCTGGCCCTTATCTAGCTCACCCTTGATTGAGATAACTAAATGTAAGGAGTACTTATTGAGACCAGTATTAGTCCATGTTCACACTAACATAAGGAAATACCTGAGACTGGGTAATTTATAAAGGAAAGAGGTTTAATTGACACAGTTCCACATGGCTGGGGAAGCCTCAAGAAACTTATAATCGTGGTGGAAGGTGAAGGGGAGGCAATGACCTTCTTCACATGGCGGCAGGAAGGAGCCGGGGAAACCGGCACGTGTAAAGCCATCAGATCTCGTGAGAACTCAGTCACTATCATGAGAACATCATGGGGAAAACCCACCCCCATAATCCAATCACTTCCCACCAGGTATCTCCCTAAACACCTGGAATTACCATTCAAGGTAAAATTTGGGTGGGAACATAAAGCTTAACCATATCAAGCACCTACTGTGTGTCTGGCACCATTCTAAATGCTTCAGCTTCATCCAACATAAAGTAAAGCTCTTGGGAGAGTCACATCAGGAGGCAGTGTCTGGGTGGCACTGCTGGTCTGGCACGAGGTGGACTCAAAGGCTGCCCGGAGATGTCCACCCAATCCCAACCCCAGCCTGTGGCTGGGCCTCCAGAGGAAGCCAGCAGGACTGGATGGCTACCAGGTGAGACACTTGCAGCGCACTGAGGGGTCTGTCCCATGAACCTGCTTCTGTTATGGCATGGTTCCTGAAATGTCAACCCCTTTGTACCTTAGACAGAAGCCACGCCATTGTACCATCTGCAGGTCCAGGCAGGACCACCTAAAGTCTGCCTTTCCTTCCAGAAACCACAGGGCACAGGTTAGGCTGGGCACACCTTTTATTTGGCTGCATGCAGTAGGGTGAGGTCAGGAGAACACTGCTGTCCTTCCAACAGGACAAGAGGTGAGTTCCAAGGGTGGCTGAGTGGGATAGAGAGGTCCTGGGAATGGCAGCTCTAGGGGTGGGGTGGGGGCTTGGAATACTCTTCAAGCCAGAGGGGGCCTTGCCTGGATCTGGGAGGTGGACAGGCGATCCTTCGAAACCCCTACCGCGCTCATCCAGGGCTCACGTGTCCGGCTGTCAGCATCAGGTCCTGTCCTGCTCCCCACCTGCCCTGGGACATCCTGTGCAGGATTACCTCAGTCCTCTGGGAACTTGACCCCCACCTGGTACCCATCTAGCTTCTGGGGCTTCACTGATAGTGAGGACAGTCCACACCCGTCCTGGACTCCACCCCACCCTGGGTCTGCCCATCTCAGACCAGGACTGAGCCTCTGAGCCGAAGCCACCTCTTCTGAGTACACAGGCAGAGCCAGAGACTGCAAGCAGCAGATGGGGCAGAGCACGGCCCATGAGCCCGCCCTCCACTTCCCAGATCAGTCTGAGTTACACAGTCACCTCCCTGCACCTGCATCATGAGGGCAGCTGCAAGCTTGCCAGATGTGTTGCCTGACCCTGCTCTGAGGGTCTTCAAGGAACACAGGGAGAATGGTCCCAGGAGGGGGAGGGAGAGAGATCCAGGCTGGCCTCCAAGCTCAACTCTCTGAGGGGCCCAGGGGAACACACTGCACCTCCCACATCTCAGGTGCCCTGTCTCTGAAAGGGGCCCATGCAGGCTTCCCTGGCCATCATTCATCAAGAGGGCTACCCACACTGAGAGGCTCCACAAAGAAGAGGCCGCTGGGGGCAAGAGTGAAGTCAGAGGTCTGGGGATGCCTGGCCTCCACCTCCCCTTCCCAAGCCCAGCCCTTTTCTGACAGCAGTAGTTTACCAGTCAGGGTTCAGCAGATGGGGGCTCAGGGGGTGTCAGGGCAGCGGGGGCCCGATGGTGATGCTGCTGTTGGTGACCCTCGGGCCGTACCAGCCGGCCCAGTAGTGAGTGTCCACGCCGCCGTGCTGAAACCAGATGTAGCGGACGCCGGGCGGGTAGTTGGAGAACGTGTGGGAGACCTGGTGGGACAGGCAGAGCGGGGAGAGAGGTCAAGGGAGCTGACTCGGGCTGGGTGTGGTGGCTCACACCTGGAATCCCAGTACTTTGGAAGGCAGAGGTGGGAGGATTATTTGAGTCCAGGAGTTTGTGACCAGTCTGGTTGCAAACCAGAGATAGTGAGATACCATCTCTACAAGAAAAAAAAAAAAAAAATTAGCCAGGCATGGTGGCGTGTGCCTGTGGTCCCAGGCAGGCTGAGGTAGCAGTACAGGTTGAGGCAGGAGGTCAAGGCTGCAGTGAGCTGTGATCACGCTACTGCACTCCAGCCTGGGCAACAGAGTGAGACCCTGTTTCTGAAATACAAAAGAAATCAAAGAAAACGAGCCTTAAAAAAAAAAGGCGTTGCGTTGGGGGGAGCTGACCCTGAGTGTGGCACTGCCTGAGGGGGACAGGGGAACAAGAAGGGGCTGAGTTCTTGGTGCTGGACCAGAATTCAGCAGAATGGAGTTCTAGCTCTAGCTCTGTGATTTTGAGCAGACCACTGCCTTTCCCCGTGCCTCAGTTTCCTCATCTGTAAAATGGAGCAAAATCCTGCTGGTGTACTCTATGGGATTGTCATTCATTCAGCCCAAAGAAATGGAAAGAAATTGCAAGCTGCCAAAGGATATCCAATACCCTCATCACAGGGCACGTGTATTCTTTAAGTTAAAATTAAGTAAAATTACGTGAAATAAAAAAGGTACTCAGTTGCACTTGGAACTGGCTCTTACTAACTGACCAGTGGTCACATGTAGCTACTGGCTACCTTACTGGGTAGTGTAGACACAGACCATTTCTATCACTACAGAAAGTTCTACTGGACAAGGCTGGGGTGACAAATGATGGCCCGCAGGCCCACTGCCTGCTTTTATAAATAAAGTTTTACTGGAACACAGCCACGTCCATTTGTTTCCATGTTGTCTAAAGCTGTGGAGAGTTGAGTAGTTGTGACAGACAGAGTGTGACCTGCAAAGTCTAAAATATTCATATCTGCCGTTTTAAGAAAGCATTTGCTAGGGCTGGGTACAGTGGCTCATGCCTGTAGTTCCAGCACTTTGGGAGGCTGAGGTGGGAGGATGCCTTGAGGCCAGGAGTTCGAGATCCACCTGGGCAACAAAGCAAAACTCCGTTTCTACAAAAAAAAAAAAATTTTTTTTTTTTTGAGATGGAGTTTCGCTTTTGTTACCCAGGATGGAGTGCAATGGCGCGATCTCGGCTCACCGCAACCTCCGCCTCCTGGGTTCAGGCAATTCTCCTGCCTCAGCCTCCTTAGTAGCTGGGATTACAGGCACGTGCCACCATGCCCAGCTAATTTTTTGTATTTTTAGTAGAGACGGGGTTTCACCATGTTGACCAGGATGGTCTCGATCTCTTGACCTCGTGATCCACCTGCCTCGGCCTCCCAAAGTGCTGGGATTACAGGCTTGAGCCACCGCGCCCGGCCAAATTTTTTTTTAATTAGCTGGGTGTGGTGGCAGGCACCTGCATTCCCAGCTACTCAGGAGGCTGAGGCAGGAAGACGGCTTGAGCCTAAGAGTTTGAGGCTGCAGTGAGCAATGAATGTGCCACTGCACTCCAGCTTGGGTGACAGAGACCCTGTCCCTAAAAATAAGTAAATTAAAACAAACAAATTTGCTGACCCAAGTCTAGAAAACAATAATAATCAATATTAGTAATTACTAACTGTCAACCTTTTGGAATTTTTTTTTTTTTTTTTTTGTTTTTTTTGAGATGGAGTTTTGCTCTTGTTGCCCAGGCTGGAGTGCAGTGGTGCAATCTTGGCTCACTGCAACCT